CTCCGAATCGGCCACATCCGGTTAACACGCCGCCATCTATTGTTTGGAGAGCCTCCTCCTCAATGCAGTACGTGTAGCGTTTCTCTCACAGTTCATCATATTTTAATAACGTGTCCATGTTTTAATCAACTTCGTTTAAAGCTTTTTGGGAGTACTATTTTATGTATGCAAGATTTGTTGGATGACACTCACCATCCTAACATTTTTGCATTTTTACGTGCCGTAGGTATTTTTAACAGCGTATAAAAGTTTTAACACATCTTCAGTTTTAAACATATCTTACTACCTTTGTACATTTTACGCACTTCGTGCGTTTTATACTGTTCTCAAACTTTTATCTGATTTTATTCATACCTTTTATCTAATTTTTATAGCATTTATCATGTTTTATTCACATTCTAGCACTGTTTTTTCAGTTATAATTGTGTGTTACAATTAAATTTTGTATGCACTTAGGCTTTTGAACTATTTACCGTACTGTCTGGCGCAGCATGTCCTCATTTGAACTATGTGCGATTAAACCCTACATTCAATCAATCCGTCTTCACTGCAGAAGCTGTTGCCGTCCTTCTGGCATTGCGGCTGATTTCGTTCGTTCGTTGTAGTGGAACTGGGAGTCTGAGGGCTTACGGCCCTTTTCCCATTTATCCTGAAATTAAACTAAGAAACATCATGACAAAATTAAAGTTTGGGGAGCAAAATGGAGTTCTAGAGAGAAAAAAATGGTACTTTGCAATTATTAGGCTATAACAAAATTACATGTAATAAAAAAGTACATGAAAAATGGAAATACATACAAAAGAGGGGCGAGTTAAAGGAATGTGAGGATGTGTATATACGAGTATGTGTAAGTAAGTGTGGCTCTGTTAAAGTAGAGATCTGGCGGTTCTGGTAATTACCACTCGTGCCGGGTAGCACTCTACACTTAAGTTACAGGGATTATCTTACCCCTGATCAGACCCCGAGGGATTGCTCTTTCACAGGGATAAACTGAATCTGCTTGTGAATAACTCAGTGAGTGTTTGTGTTAAAAGTTAGTATGATATCAGAAGTGTAGAAGTGTGCANCTTTTACCAAAGTTCAAGGTTTTGGACACTTTAGGACAGTTTTACCCAGTTTAGGACAGTTTTACCCAGTTTAAGACAGTAAAACCCACATGTCCTGTCCAAACCCAGTTTAGGATGTCCAAAACCCCAAACCTGATTTTAACTCTGTATCCTTCTCGCTCCCGTGAAAATAATGGGGTGAGATTTCGCCCGCTATTTCTCGCTCCCGTGATATTGACGGGCTGGAGTGTTCAGTAGTAATGCGCCAATAAGAATAAAACTAATTCATTTCTTTTGCCCGGAAAACATTTTATTTCTCATTTTAAACACCTGATGGCAGTACCAGGATATTTTTAAGGTAATTGTAGATAGTTAGTTTATTTTAAACAAGTTGCAACACTAATCAAATACAAAAGCCAAAAAAATTGGCACTTTTAAGACCGTTTTCTTGAAAATTAACCGATCGTTAAGGGTTTAACTGCAAGCGTCATTTTATAAAGATATATTCGGAAAAAAATAATTTAAGGTGGAAAAACGGTGTATAAGAATAGAGATGACTGGAAATGTGTATATTTTTCGCGTAAAAGTTGACAGGTATGTAACCGATATCGATTTACCTTTTTCGGTAGTTCTATTTTAACCTTGTAGGATCTCTCATATCATCCTAAGCTATTTAAAATTTTATCATCTAATCTTATTCACGTTTTGCGCCGATTTAGCCTGATTTTACTCACTTTTAGATCTTTGCATTACCTTGTGTACAATTTGTACTATGAATTTTACCTTTGATTTGATACTTATTGTTTTGCACAAAGCGTCCATTAGTGGACCTTGTGCCATTAAATCTTACATTCAATCAAAACCTCTAAAGTTAGTAATTGATCAATGGTGTACCTTCCCTTCCAGAAGTTCGTTTTGGGAAGGAAAAAAATGCTAATCAAGCAACCTTTGAAAACAAAGGCTGCATGTGATGAATTGAATCAGAACAAATTATTAAACTGTACATAGTAACTTTATTTTTTATTAGAGACTTTTCATCAAAATATCACAAAAAAGTTTAAGCTGTGAAATTTATCGACTTTCTTTTGTTATCAATGGCAACATCATATCAAATGAATGGCACATTAGCTGAATTTCACTAAACAAAAAATTACAAATGATGAAAAGCAACACCTACACCGGGGGGGGGGATGGTCAAATTTAAATACATACTTTCTTCTAGTACTAATACATGTAAATCATAGGACATAATTGAAAGTCGCCACCAGCAACAGGACGATTAAATATAACTAGTCTTTTTTAATTTCAAGAAATGCTTCAAAAGAAAATGCCTTACAATATTAATAATAAAAAAAATTTAATTTTCAGCCAAGTAGCCACAGGTTTTAAAAAAAAGGCCACTATTAAAAATGCTACAAAATTTCTCAATTTTGCCCTATAATATAAATTCAGATCTTGTATGAAAATTCAACACAATCCATTTCATGATTAATGCTATAGAAAGAAGACCATTAAAATTGTGCGAAAAAAAAAGACTTAAAACATGATTGTACAAAAATAAGCTTTTAGAACAAGAAACGACTGAGTGTTCACTATATCCCTGGTTCATTATAAGGAGATTAGAATGTATAAACTTGATCTATAAAATTTACGTAGTACCATTAACGTATACAGAAATAAAAAAGTTCAATCACCGAGAGAAAATAAATAATACACACATACATAATATGTATGAAATAAGAAAAAGCATAGCAAAGGTGTAAAAATACTAAACAAAACACTAAAATTCACAAGTGTAAAATAAAACCAATAAAATAACTGAGTAAAAAAAAAAAGATGTAAATATTTTTTTTTAAATGTTTTTACGCATTTGAATTAATATTTTAATCGTAATCTAATAACACAAATTATATTGTTTAGATTATACATAATTTAGAACAATCAAAATAATATATCATTTATAACTCATTTCTTTGCACAATACAAAATCAGAAAACAAATGTAACAGCATAATACAGTCAATTTCCTTTAACCCGAATAAGTTAAAAGCAATGACTCAAATATAAAAATTTTGACTTCACTGCTAGACTTATTTTCACAATTTTAAAATTACAACATTTGTCTTTTTGATAGTGGGTTCATAGTATTCAAGGATATTGAAAGAATATTCTATACATCATCATGATTGTATTTTGATCCAGATTTTTAATTATCTCTGTTAAGTTATAAGTTTTTAATTTTCCCTCATTAAGAACGTCTGAATCATATAAATTTGAATGTATACAATTATATTGAATCCTCTCAATTCAACAAATTAATGCAATGCAAACAATATGCTCTCAAGAAAACAGGTTACGCGTGGAAATCAACATCAAACTTATCTATCAATAGGTATCTCAAGATTGATTTGAGTTTGCATCTTATTATGTACTAGTTAATTGAGATTAATAATTGTAGTGGTAGTTATGCCACAATACTCTCCCATCAGAATTTTCACAGGGATAGAATTTGATGAACGGATACCACTAGATGCCATAGTTGCGAAAGACTGGGAGATCTATGTTTAATTCACTGGATTTTTGTGCACTTAAGATGAGAGCTGTATTGAATTCACTGTTGTGTGTGTGGTCTCAAACGTGTTGCTAATAGCATCCGAGTGAGAGCAGAATTCCGTTGTGTGTAAATGAGATATAGCATATCAGCAGGTCACCAATGGGGTGGAATCGCATAAAATTCAACTTAAATTTAAACATAGAGTTAAAACGGACTTTATAATAGCAATTTTTGCTGCATTAGACTAACTGAATGTTTACATCAATGATCTCTGTGTGACAGCGTTGAGTTCGCATACAAATTTGGACTTACAGTGTTGAAGATTCGCTCAGTAAATTTTGCTACCACTGAGGGGAAAAAAATCATAAAATTGTTCCTTGGATGTGAGTTTTGATTTGTAAGGTATGTTAAAGATTTAGTTTAAAAGAATAAATAACAAGAAATTTAAGAAAGTAAAAGCATCATTAAAAAATTATCAAGTTAGTTACAAAAGGTAATATTCAAGTTAATAGGAAATTGACTACATTATGCATGTAACATATGGGTGAGGGATAATTTACGTAATAATATAATGTAATCAATATTCCTTAATCGAAAACTCGAGTATTTTCTTAAATTACACAGTTGTGACAGATGAGCAAACTAAATATTATATATGAGTAAACTAAATGCAAGCAATAATAAATAAGATTGAGTATTTCATTTTTACCATTCTTAAATATCTATGTAAAGCTAGAAAAAGAGATTAATAAAATTTATTGAAACTTTAAAAATACATTTTTTTTTTCAAATGAAATATATCAAGCATAATAAACAGTCGAAAAGCGTAACCTGCAACTATGTGCCAACTATATATTGTATATAAGAGTGCTCAACAATTAACTAATTGTGCATCTTTATACATTTTTCCGATATAAATAAATGAATAACTTGATTCATAAAGTGTCCATTATAATCAAATTTTATTCCTTTATTATCTTCTATTTGATATATTTCATGAAATAGTTTATTCATTTAATATAAAGAGGGTGTAGTAACAAATTTCATCATAATATTTTTAAGTATAATTACTGTAACTAGTCATTTTTCAACAACTTTAAAATAAATGCATTTGACAAATTAATTGTCAAATTTTCAATTAAAATTATTAATGCTCTTTGATGCTGTTCACCATAGTACAAAATGCAATCTACAAAATATACTCACACAATTATTTAAAGACTGTTTATTAGGAAATTAATGAATTTAAAATTTCGAAATGAAAGAGATACACATGAAAATTTTAAACCAATGACGAGATCCAAATTTATAAATTTATGAAATATACATTCTTTAAAAATTTTTCAATTTTTTTTTATATAAAATTTAATTTTAAAAAAAATTAATTTAGGAATTAAATTTTTTTAAAGAATTTTGGAGGTTTAAAAAATGAAAGACTAAACACAAATATATAATCTAGAAAATTTTAAACATTTCTGTTTGAAAAATCAGCACGCTTTATAAACCGAATCACTTTAAATAATGGAAACATTTAATGAAACATTGATCAAGAAATATCTCTTTGCAAAACAAAACCTAATTTTTCTATTTGAAAAATCCTTTAAATTCAGCTGAAAATTTTTAGTTTTAATTCTAAGAATCTGTAAGCAGAACTTTATATATCCAGTATTTTAATGAAGCACCAAATTCAACAAAAAAAAAAGATATTCACAAATTTAGTTTAGTTAATTTAAAGAGAGGAATGTTTTTTTTTCTTCTTTCTAATAAAATATGTATGTTAAAATATCACTAAAATTTTACAAGGAATGCGTCCTATCTACATCACACAATCACAGCACATATTAAAAATAGATACTTCATCACAAAAATGATTTCTGGTCCATCTTTGTTAATAAAAACCTATAAAGAAAGAAAATATTTTTAATAAATATTCAAAACATATTAATGATTCCAGGCGTCAAAAATACACGAAGGATTTGAAAAATTTAGAAAGAGATAGCAATGTTTGGTTTATTGCATTTTGCTTAAGAATGCAATCAATCTATTATCTCAAGTACACAAAGCTTGTTAATAGATGATGCTGCTGACTGAGTAAAACTACAATTAAATGTTTTCCTGCATGCCTGACTATTCCAACACACAATATTCACAGAGGCACGTGTAATTTTGAAAACATTGTTTTACAGATTTCTCTATCCTCAATTGTTGATAAACTTTGTAACAAATTTTGATATATAGCTGATTTCTGAAGCAAAATGCAGCAAACCATGTATTTCTATTGTGCATGACTTTTCAAATCATCTACATTTTTCATATACTGGAAGAATACAGAATTAAAATATTATAATTAATCCCTGCTTTAGAATACACATTCTTATTTTTAAAATCATCTAAAATTACACAATTTTTAGATCCAACTAATTATCTTATTATACATGCCTCAAATGAAAGTGAATCTTGACCCAGTGTTCGAATTAAAACCTCTGAGGCAACATTGCTTTAATTTTCTCATTTATCTATTTTACTTGGTGACACTTTTCACTAATTTTAAAATTGGCTGAGTTGCCAGTAACTAAAAACTTATTAATTGGCATCAATAGCCTTGGTGGCTCAGGGGATAGAGCGTTCGCCTTCCTATGAGCCAGTGCTGAGTTCGAATCCCAGCACTTGCTAGTCTATACTAATTTTGCACCCGAATTGCACCGACCACGGTGCTGACATCGAATATCCTGAGTGGTAGAGGGAGCATAGGTTAGAGTCCACTTGTCGTGAGACTAGCCGCGGAAGATTTTCCTCTCCATGTAACGCAAATGCGGCTTAGTTGCCTGAAAAAGTCCTATGAAGACAAAATTTCTCCCAACATGGGCTGTTTAATGAGGGTTATAAAATAAAAAGTATATCCTAGTGACCCAATCAAATTATTTAATTAAATTTTAGATCATGAAAAATAAAAAGTGAATCTCAGAAAGAATACTTTGCTTTGTGGGCATTTACTCAGTACATTATAATTTAATATTTGTTTTTTGCCCTGATTCGCCAGGACAATGCAGTGTTCCTTTACATTTTTGAGCTGTTCATTATAAAAACCTCTCCATTTATTTTCCCTGATTTACTGTCTTTTTCTCAAAGTGATTTTTGATTGTGGTATGATTAAGAGAATAAAATGACATAGAAGTGGTTGTGATTATGTAGAAGATGGAGCTTTGGGGCAATTGACATTGGTGCAAGTGGCAAAACTAGTTTTGGAGAAAAAAAACATTTTGGAGCACCGAAACAAAGATTCGGAACATATTTGATAAAAAGCTTTTATAGGTTACTAGTTTGACTTTTATAAAAATAAAAACTTCATAAAACTTATTTAATCTAACCTTGTATACTATGTACATGTTTTTTTACCATGACTAATTACTTTTGGAACTGTAAGCACTATTTTAAAAATGAACAAAAGAATTGTAAAATTAAGGAACAGAATTTTTTTTTTTTAAAAAAAGAGAGAAATGAAAAAACAAGAATTTTTAATTTTGTTTATTAATAACAAAACTTTTTTTTTACATTTTTCGAAGGTCCCTGCATTAACAAATTAAGTTTCTTTTTGGAAACTTCCAATGCTGTTAAATACTCTGCTGTCCTCGACTTAGCCTCAGATAAGAGGACCTGTTCTATAATAAACATGCCTTTATTATTTAACCCATCTTTAACATTTTTTTCCAGCTGTGGCTAAGAGATCCTGTGAAGCCTTCAATTTTTTTTTTTTGCAAATCAAATTCAGCAGCTTTCAATCTGCTTTCCTCAGTTTCAGTGTCTTCTCATTCATTGCACACGCCAAGTAAAAAGACCTGGCACCTAAATACATAGATTTTTTTTTCTCCCCTGAAGAAGATAAAGATGCCATCGCCTCTGTGGTATCTAGTCTGATATCTATTATTGAGTTGATGCATAAGTTCCCGCAATTTTTTTTTAATTTTTTTATAGCTTTATTTTTTGATATAAAATAACAATTTAATCTATAATGTACTCTCCGTTGTTTCTTACGACTTCCTCCCAATGTTCAACGAGTTTTTCGATGCCATTTCGGTAGAAATTACCCGGAAGCATCTCGGAAAAGTCGTCCAACCAATTCCGTAATTCGACGTCATTATTGAACGAAACGCCTCGTAAAGCATTTGAAATCGCACGACACAACTCTCTTGAGCAGCTTCTGTGGCTTTGGCACCTCGATTAAATGCAACAAGTAGTTGGTGTCAGTAACGCTCGTTTTTGTCAACATGACACTCTATTTAAATGCTCTAAAAAGTAACAATAATTAAAGTCAACAAAAAAGTGAAATACACTATTTTATAGAGCGAAAAATTCTCTTTCGAATAACACGAAAGATTATACCAAAACATTTCATTTCCAACGCAAATTTTTTAAATTACAAAAAGCGCAATAACTTATGCATCAGTCCAATAAATTTGAATTTTGCCAAATTTCTGCATTTTCTATATCCAATGATTTTAAACCATGTCCCGATAAACTGAGAAAGCAGAATTTTTTTTTAAAAAAAAAAAGCCCTAACAACGTTTTAACTAGAGACACCATTTTATGATACAGCAAGTGAATCAATTGTGTCTCAGTTTGAAAAAGACCTAAAAATATGTTTAAGATATCAGAAATATGTTGTTGTTTTTTTTTTAAAAAAAAAAGAGCTTTCAGCAAAAGCAATTTATCTTTGAGGGCTTGCTTTATCCCTTTGCAGCGAGCACCATCTCTGCTGGTTGAACCTTGATCTTTTTCGAAAAATGTTGAAATAAGATGGAACGTCTCAAGAAAACGCTCTAATGAGGTTTCTAATGACAGCCAACGGCTACTAACGTGTCTAAAAAGAGCCTTTTCTGTCGCATTTAGTTGGCCTTGCAACTTTCTAAAGTCTACTATTTTTTCAAACATTCCTCAGAGTGCAAAGGTTAATTATTAGACCTTCTACTTCTTCACCCAANAATTTTGCCAAATTTCTGCATTTTCTATATCCAATGATTTTAAATCATGTCCCGATAAACTGAGAAAGCAGAATTTTTTTTTTAAAAAAAAAAAGCCCTAACAACGTTTTAGCTAGAGACACCATTTTATGATACAGCAAGTGAATCAATTGTGTCTCAGTTTGAAAAAGACCTAAAAATATGTTTAAGATATCAGAAATATGTTGTTGTTTTTTTTTTTTATTTTTAAAAAAAGAGCTTTCAGCAAAAGCAATTTATCTTTGAGGGCTTGCTTTATCCCTTTGCAGCGAGCACCATCTCTGCTGGTTGAACCTTGATCTTTTTCGAAAAAAGTTTGAAATAAGATGGAACGGCTCAAGAAAACGCTCTAATGAGGTTTCTAATGTCAGCCAACGGCTACTAACGTGTCTAAAAAGAGCCTTTTCTGTCGCATTTAGTTGGCCTTGCAACTTTCTAAAGTCTGCACTCTGAGGAACGTTTGAAAAAATAGTAAAGGTTAATTATTAGACCTTCTACTTCTCCACCCAAAACAGTTAAAGCTTAAGAAAAGCTGTTATGAACTTTGTGTAATGAACAGGTGGATATGTCTAGTAACTGAGTATTTTGGGACTGGATCTTCCCTTTTAGACTCTTCATTATATTTGGGCCATCACTGAAAAAACACAAAAGCTTATCTTTTGGCAACTGATAAAAAACCTCACAGAAACATTATTTCAGTCGTTCCATGGCCTGTGTGAAAACTCTGTAAATGCTGGACAATAACTTGCTCTTTTATATCACCGTAAAAACGAATAAGAACATCCATCTGCTGCATGCGTTTTTCCGGTAAAAGTGTTCAATTTATCATAATAGAAAAGAACACTCCACTATTTCTAATTTCTTTCAGAAGACTTTCTTTAAAATGTGGACCAAGACCATCTGAAATAAGGTATAAAGCTTTAGCTCTAGAACAAGAAAAGCAATCTCGGAATCAGAAAACATTTATGAAATAACATTGCAGTTGTGTCGCAAAACCGTTTCAGGGCCAATGTGAAAACTCTGTAAATTCTGGACAATAACTTCTCTTTTATGTCACCGTAAAAACGAATAAGAACATCCATCTGCTGCATGCGTTTTTCCGGTAAAAGTGTTCCATCTATCATAATAGAAAAGAACACTCCGCTATTTCTAATTTCTTTCAGAATACTTTCTTTAGTGGACGAAGAACATCAGAAATAAGGTATGAAGCTTTAGCTCTAGAACAAGAAAAGTTTTTAACAATCTTAGAATCTGGAAACATTTGTGGAAATCACTTAGTAGCTGTGTCGCAAAACGATTATGAAACTCCTTTCGCTGCCAAAGAGACAACAAACTGTATTTCAGCAGCGGATACTCTTCCATTATGAGTCAGTAATAGTTTAAATACTGGATCGCTTTCCTCAAAAGGCCAAAATTTGTGACTGTCCCTGTCATGCCTCTATGGGTAGTAAAATTTTCTATTACCCAATTTAAATGATATCTGAATTTCTCGGCCATGTTTCACAAATTATCTGACGAAATGGATTGGGTTCACAAACGTGATAAATTGGAGTTTGAATCTTGGCAAGGTGTGTGAGTTGAAGTTTTTAATTTTGTGGATCTGTTGTTGTTGTTTTCGTGTCCATGTATCTTTAGATCACATCAAAGGTCTGTACTATTGCGGCCGCCAGCTTCGGCGCCTCTTGACTGTAGAGAATAGCTCTGATTGTCCTCAATTGGCACCCATCCCAATTTCAAAATGTGTGGTGAGTGCGGGGCACTCGAAAATGTGTTTTGGGGCCAACATGACATCTGGGCAGTTTCTGCGGGGAACGTATGTCCTGATCTTGTCCGGGAGAAAAATTCATCCCTTTGAAATGACAAGTCTTGCTATTACCGATGTCAAGGTTCTAGGGCAGTTGA